GTTAGGAAACAAGTGGATTTCTTGCTGAGAGGTCTCCCATGGGATGGATATTTTGGGGAAGGAAAGGTGAAGTTCATATCTTTAACAAGCATTGTTGATGAGGGTTAGCTGAAGGAATAATGGAGCGTTTAGGAGTGTTGCTAAAGCATAGGGCTTGCTGAGAACCTATGTGATTAAGAAAGGGGTGTGATATAAGGGAGGGGACCTCAAACTCTTAATTGGATGGGTTGATGGGTCTCATGAATGTTCTTTTGAACTAATGGTGACTTTAGTGTGCAGCAATGCACCATGGATCATGGGGGATTTCCTAGCACTAGTGTGCTTCTAGTTTTAGATAACTCCCTCCGCTATTCCCTGGCCCCTTGTATTTTCCTCATCTTCCTCTTTCAAGGTCCACTTCCTTCCCATTTTGCTTGTCCACGGACCGGGGCTTATGTCTTTGCCACTGTCTGGTTCTTAGAGTCCCAGACTTTGCGAGATGAGCCCTAGGTGCTGTCCTCCCTGCCTCTCCGTTTTGTAATGAGATGTAGTATTTACTTTTAACATAGGTTCATTTGGAACCGGAGTTCTGAGGAGGAGGAAGTGAGGGTTCTGCTATTGACTGACTTGAGTGATGGCTCCTCCTCCAAAGGTGTAGGCTCCAGTTTCCTAACATAGTAAAATGTGAAGAGCAGACAAAGGAGATGTTAGTGTCTTTCCCTTTTCATTAAAGGTGTTTTAACCAAATATTTTTGTGTTTCTCCTTATTTCATTTCAACAGCCAGCTGGGGTGTGATATGAGCATTCCCTAACATTGAGATTCCCTTCCCACCTACATCTCCTGCCAAAGCTGAACATATGGTGTTGAAATATTTAATTTGCTCAGCCTTGTCCTAAAACAACCTCCAGTGAATGTAATTTCCTTGTAGAAATGGTGTTTGTGTTCTCAAAAGGTAGGGGATTTGCTCACTGTTTATAGCCACTGTCCAGGTTTTCTCTTTGCCTAGAACCTTCTACCACCAGGCTTTTGTATTTTATTTTACTTGTTTTGTTTTGTTTGGAGGTTGAAAGCTGTTTCTTTATCTATCTATCCTGACCTGTAGGCCAGCCTAGCTGACATCAGTTAATCTGCAGAACCAAGATGAATTCATCTTTATGATACTTGAGGTCTGATGTTATAAACAGGAAAAAAAATTCAACCCTAGTAATTTCTACCAACAAGATAATATAAAGGAGAATTCTTAGCAGAGGAAGTGCATTGGGGGTGGGAGAATGAAATGAAGCATATATATATATATTTTTTGTTTTGTTTTGTCTCTCCACAACATGGTAAGGTTCAGATTTGACTCTTAAGACCTTGCTTTCCTAAAGAGAACATTCTCCGGAATTTTTTTTTTTTTCGTTTGTAAGATTATATCACTGAAACCACATGCTAAAGGGATGGGACTGGTAAAATGATTTGCCTAAAGACATTCAGCCAATCAGTGGCAGAACTGCATTAAGAACCCAGGTCGGCAGAATCCCAGTCTCAGTGCTAACCACCAGTGGTCAGGAATGGTGCTTGCTTTCTGTTACATACTAAAGACTCCTGAAGTGGTGAGGCTGGCTGGAAGACTGAAGGGAAAGGTGAGTAAACCTACTGGCTCAATTCAAGGTAAAGAACAGAGGTTTGATTCTAGTTGCCTCCTGGAGGCAACTTTAAACCCGTCCCGCTTTAAAGGTACAAGTGAATAGGACATGGCAATCTTGTGAAGTCGGCTGGAGAAGAAACAGCTCCTGTCTCTTTAATTCCTTACCAGAGCTTTATAAATCTGTTTTTCTTTTCAGCCTATGGAAGGAGGTAGGTCACCAATCCTTCTATTCCCTTTACCTCCCCTACCCCCACTGGACATAGATAATGCCATTTAACTAATTAAACTAGACTTGCCCTCTCTGTAGATGCCAGTTCCCATTATGGTAACAGCTGTCAGTGAGGCTTCTGCTAATGGGTGCTTCCTTGGGCAGGTCAGCACTGAGCTGGACTCCCCACCCCACTCCTTCATAGCTCTACTTTATTTTCCCTTCTGTCTCCTTTTCATTCTTCTTTTTCCTCTCCTGCTTTTTATTCTTTCATTGACCTACAACTTCTACTTTTCTCTCTTCACCTTTAGTTTATTTCTCTCTTAGAGCCTTCAGTTTCTTCCTTCTTGCAGTCCCCTCCAATCCCCACCCTCAACCCCACCATTTCTTACTCTCAAGCACTTCTCATTTGATCATCCTTTTGGAAGGTGAATTAACTCTAACCTGCTGAAATGAATATGTCAAGAAATGCAGCTTGCGAAACGCTTTACCTGAAATATACATAGTGGATTCAGTTCAAACTAGATGGATAAAAAATCACTAGTACAAGAAGCAAGAGACAGCTTCCTCACTCATTCATTCAGTTAATTTTTGAGGATTTGTTTCAGAGACCAAGTGTTGGGTAGATACAAAGGTAAACAAACTTCTGCCCCTAAGGGGGCTCAGTCAAGGAAGAAGAAAAATGAAAACATATTTTTATATCATGGTAGTAAATACTGTGATAGACACAGTGGCCTGTGGGATTCCAGAAAGGGAAATAACTAACTCATGTTACGAAGAGAGAGAAGGGGGCGGGGACGTACCGTTCTCTTACATTCAGTTTTCCTAATAACCATGCTGAAATATATTAACTGAATCCATATGACAACCTAAGGACCAATGCAGTTACCATATAAAAACCTACATAAGGTACGTCAAGTCCCCTTTGGCAGATACAGAGGTGTGCTACTTCAGAGATGTCCCTTTAAGAAAGAACTGGCTACCTAGCTGCAAGAAACCTGGTTAGCTGACAGCCTCTAGCTGTCCTACTGTTCTCCAAACCCCTGGCCAAAGGCTAAGCAAGGTGGTGGGTGGTACAGGGCTTAGCCATTCCCAGGGAACATGGGACTAATGAACGATTCTTGCTATGGAACTCTCCAGTGGTCTGGCAGAGGCTGTCATGTCTGCATCACTGACAGCTTTGGACAGCTCTCCCTGCCCAATCCCATTTTCTTCTCTTTTTCTTTTTACAAGTGTTACTTCCCAATAAAACTTTTGGACTTCTGACTCTCTCAGCATCTGCTTCTCCCAGATTTCAACCTGTGTCACCCCAAAAAAAGGTTTCAATTCTATTGGCACATTTTCATCTCTCACAGATTTCTGGGACTCTGGATACCGTCCCTGGAACTTCTCAGTAAATCAAGGAACATCCGTCTCCTGATCCCCAAAACAAACTTAACTCACATGAGCGTTTCTCCATTAGACCCAACTTTGACTTCCCTTTACATTTCCTTGTCTTTTCTAATGTTTAATTTAACAACAGATTTGCTAATCCCATTGGACACTTTGCTTTTGATCATATAATTTAAAAAAATGAGTAAGGACAAAAGTGAAGAAAAAAAAATTTTGACCAAAGAACCAGTTACGAAGTGCAGTATTTGGTCAATACTGTGGATGTTTCAGTAACCCATTGCTGTGTAACAAACCATCCAAAACTTAGTGTCTTAAACAATAATTATGTATTTGCTTGTGAGTCCATGGGTTGTCCCAACAGGCCTCAGCTAGGATGACTTGTCTATGTTCCATGTGGTGAGGGCTGAGCTCACTCAGCAGCTTCAATTCGGGCTGGAGGATCCAAGATGGCCTCACTCACCTCTGGCCCCTCAGATGAATGGCTGGAATACTGCAGTCTCTTTTCTTAGAGTTTTTCATTCTCCAGGAACTCTTTTTGATATCTTTCAATCTCTAGGATTTCTCTCTCTCTCTCTGTCTCTTTCTCACTCCTTTTTTCTCCCTCTCCTTCTCCCTTTCCCTCTCCCTCACTCTCTCTTCAAATGGTCTAGCTATTAGGATAACTGGACTTCCATGAAGGCCTAGGCCTCCAAGACGACAAAAGCAGAAGCTTCAAGGCCTCTTAAGGCCTAGACTCTGAAACTCAAAGAATATCACTTCTGCCACTTTCTGTTGGCCAAAGCTAGTCAGAAAACCAGTTCAGATTCAAGAGGAGGGGAAACAAGCTTTACCTCTTATCGGGAAGAGTGGCAAAGACACACTGCATAAGGGCATGTGGGATGGGAGCCAATATTGTTGTGGCTAACTCTGGAAAGTCGACCACAGCAGATAGGAGGAAAAGTTCAGAAATGTAGTGCATGCAGCACTCATCTACTCACAACTAGGCTTACACTCTTGACTAGAAGAGGTCTGGGTGAGATTCCTTCCTCCTTCCTGTACTGCTCAGGGTTGTATACAGACTGGCTAAGAGTAGGCACACAAGAAAGCAGTGGCTTTCTTATGAGCTGAAAACTGGTCCTGAGGAGCCTAGAAAAAAATCCCTCTATAAGCAGATCATGCTAAGTGGCCCTCCTGTGCTCCTAAAATTTGCCTAATTTACTACTGTAATAATTTATCCAAAGTGAATATGAAAGCAAAGACTTCTGGGAGCTGGCCTTAACTTGGCTGACTTTAAGGAGTACCTGTACTCCTTCTTTGGCTTCCTCTGTAGGTGAGAGAAGGCAATCCAGGTCTTAGGTACCTCGAATTCTACCAGAGACTGAATCTCTTCCACTAGAAAAATTCTTCCTTTCCTAGACGAAAATGCTTATGAATTTAAGGGTTGACCTGTGGAAATCTGTCTTTAAGATGAATCAACCCCCTTCATCTTCTACAAAGCTATATCCAGTACTGTCTTTCTCTCCCAAGACTATTTAATTTTACTGCTATATAATTTCTATGTATTTCATTTCTATGTGTTAAGGACCTTGAAAGAAATAGTGATCTTACAGCAAGTGAGGGATTCAGATTTGTGAACAGTTAACTCTAACAGTTCTCTAATAGAGCAATAATGGGATTATCTTACTTCAGTAATAATACATGTGTCTAAACATAGGGCCACACAGAATATATCCCAAATGAAAGTGCAAAGCATCCCTTGTCAACTCTCTTCAGGGTAGTTGTTAGACCCAGGTTATTAAAGGAAGCAAAACCTGTTAAGTAGGGTCTTCCTTGGCGGTCTGGTGGTTAAGACTCTGCCTTCCACTGCAAGGAATGTGGGTTCAATCCCTGGTCAGGTAAGTTCCGTGTGCCGCAGGTTGCTGCCAAAAAAAAAAAAAAAAAAAAAAACCTTAGGTAGAGCAGGCCCTTGGAAGTAGTCTTTTATGATTTCACATCAGCCAACTTTGCCAAGAGTATTTCAGCTGAGCAAGATGGAATTTTTTCCTTCTAATTAAGTATAATCCTGAGAATTAAATGTCCAGATATGCTCATATGAGCCCATATTCATTTCTGTGTCCTCTATCTCAATGCTCATATATAAAGGTACACATCTCAAAAGACAATGTAGGGCGGCCTCCCTGGTGGCTCAGTGGTTAAGAATCTGCCTGCCAATGCAGAGGACACGGGTTCGAGCCCTGGTCCAGGAAGATCCCACATGCTGCAGAGCAGTTAAGCCTGCGAGCCACAACTACTGAGCCCGTGTGCCACAACTACTGAGCCCGTGTGCCATAACCACTGAAGCCCACGCGCCTGTGCTCTGCAACAAGGTAAGCCACCGCAATAAGAAGCCTGTGCACTGCAACGAAGAGTAGCCCCCGCTCGCCTCAACTAGAGAAAGACTGCGCACAGCAACAAAAGACCCAATGCAGCCAAAAATAAAATTAAAGTAAAATAAATAAATAAAAAAAGACAATGTAAATTATCTACTAGGTAAATTTAAATTCAGAAAATGATATGGAAATGGATATTTTGATCACTACTAAATCTCCACAGTACCTAGCACATAGTAGTCACTCAAATATTTTCTGAATAAATTAATGAAACTGCCACATTCCAAAACACATACATCTTTCTTCTCAGTAGTCTCCCTTCATATTCACCCCTTCCTTTCCATTACTATACATAGATAGCTTCTGACTTAAAGGTCCTATCATCAAACAGTTACAATAGGCTACTGATTATTTTCCCTATCTCTAAACTTTTCTCCCCATCTCAATTCAACCAGAACACCAGATTCCCTAAAATATTCCCTATTCACAAACCTTAAAATGTACCCTGTTGTATGCTGAATAAATTGCAAGCTCGTTGCTCAGGTAACATGTACCTTTTGCAATTTAGCCTCAAATATGGAAACAAATATTCTCCCAAATTCCCAAAAATAATTCTCTGTGTTCTAGCAAAATTAATCTGGGTCAGCACGGCACGCATCATGCTTTTCTACATCTAGTCTAGACCTTTGCTTTTATCATGTTCTTAGCCTGGAATTCTTTCCTATAGCTTCACCTACTGAAGTACTAGCTGTCACTCCAAGCCTGAACTTTGATGTCACCTCCTTGCCAAAGGGTCATCTGGGCTTGGAGTCCTCCCTTCTTTGCAATCACATTTGTTTTTTAAGTCTATGCTCGGTGCTGCCTTAGTCTGTAAAGATGGTTCAATATCAATAAACTGGGTCATAGCTCCTTTACCACACCAGAAGCTCTGAAAGCAGGGGCCGTGCCTTAAGCTGTTCTTTCTGGCAGTGTTTGGCGTTCCGTAGGCTTGATAAATCAGTGGTTCTCAAATGCTTCCATTCAGAGAACCTCATTAAAAAAAACGAAATTTTTAAGTTTACTACACAGAGAAGTGCACATACCAAAATGTTTGGCTCAGTTCATTTTCACAAACAACGTATTCATACAACCAGCTCTCAGAATAAGAAACACAGCTCAACCAGAACCTCAGGAGCCCCCTAGTGCCTCCTTCTGAGTATGTATGTATGTATGTATGTATTTATGCATGCATGCATACATTCTGAGCAGCTTGCGATCTGATTTCCCCGACCGCAGATTGAACCGGTTCCGTTGGCAATGAAAGCGCAGAGTCCTAACCACTGGACCACCAAGGAATTCCCTGAGGACTCTATTTTAATGTATTACACATGATACTTGTAGATTTGGTATAAGCAAGAAGAGTGAGAATATGTATTTGTAGACTCATTATAGTATCTCTGCTCCATCAGTTATCCTCCCTCAAATATGCATGAGTAATGGCTATATTTTTGTAAACAAGTGCACGGGAACATGAAGCTACACCTTCAGTGGCAAAGGTATGTTAGTACCAAACTGTCAAAAGAAATTAGTGATCCTTCATTTCCAAAATCTAGACTACATACGCTGCCCCGCGTGCGCTGTCTTAGTACGACTCGAACTCATTTCCTAATATTCAACATGGCCGCATGCGCGGCTATAAGCAACATGGCAGCTCTGCCAGGCACCAACATGGCAACCACAGCCTCACCTCACCCGGAAGCGTGAAAGAATTCCCATAAAAAACATACCCGCCATTCCGCCAACACTTAAGTTGGCTCTCGTTTCAGCTTCAAAGGGAGAGCAAAACCGGAAATGACTTTCCGTCCGGTGCGTCTCCCGGGATCTCTTTCCGGTTAGGCTTCGGGTGTCCGCATGAGAGTTGGATAATTCTTGGAACTAGGGCTGAGAGGTGGAAGGCAGTCGCCCTTGGTTCGGGACGTGTCTGGGCTGCGAGACCGAAATGTCGGACACGTGGAGCTCTATCCAGGCCCACAAAAAGCAGCTGGATTCTCTGCGGGAGAGGCTGCAGCGGAGGCGGAAGCAGGACTCGGGGCACTTGGGTGAGGCGCGGGACTGTTGGGGCCGAGCCTTAGCCGGGGAGGGCTGGAGGGAACCCTGGAGAAAAACACAGCTCCCGAGTCGGTGCCTTTCCCCAAACTGCCGTTTCTTTAAGCCTTCATACACTGGTACTCTTCTCCCCCCACCTCAGCAGCACAGACGCTTCACCCTGCTGCAAGTAGTCGCGGCTCCTTCCCAGCCTGGGCCCTGGTTCCGCCGGTTCCGCTTTCCCCGGCCGGAAGCCTCCGCCTCCCCGCGTCAGGTTGACTCCTCTTGAGTCTGAGAGCGTCTCACTTGCTAGGCCTTTCAGCCCCCGATCCCTCGAAGCAGCAAGTCCCTTTTTTTAGTCACTCCCGTGGCGCTTTGTTCTTTTCTCGGTTATAGCAATTGCTTTTTAGTGGTCATGTCTTTTGAGATTCGGGGCGCTGTGAGAGCAAGTACGGAACCTTTATATCCACAGTGCCCAGCTCAATGGCCCTCGCAGAGTTAGCACTCGGTGTTGCTAAACGAGTAGAGGAACTGGCATTGTCTTAGACGTTTACACACTGAGCAGGAATCTGAAAACATTTGTTTTTAAACTTTTTCTCCCCTCCCGTTTTCTCCTGTGTCACAGTCTTAAAACTTGAAGGAACCTCAAAAGGTTAAGTGCTACTCATACCACATCCCCAGCACAAGCCCTGAATTATCTAAGGCAAATCAAAGATCTACAAGGATAATGAATCCGTACCGCTCTTGTGTGTAGCTTGTTGCACTGTATATCAGTATACTCGAGTCTGTCTGTAAATCTTGTGTTGAAATATATATTAGGTCCATGCACTTGTAGTCTGGCCCTTGGAACTAGAAGATGCTCTGGCAGGACTCTTATACCATAATGAATGAACATCTATCGAGTGTCTACAGCGTACATGAGTCCAGTTAGACAAAAGACAGTGTCCCTGCCCTCAAGGAGTTTAAAATTTAGTTGGGGATAAAGGAAGAGTCAGAAATACAATATGACATATGTAAAATGCCAAATGAATCGATTCCACAATGAGTACAGTGAAGGTAGAAGTAACAAGAGTCGGTTTAGCCAGTGAAGGCATCAGGGAAGAGTTGGCACTTGGAATTTGGTCTCTATGGCTATGTAGGACTTAGACAATTAAAGGGAAGGTAAGAAAGCAGGGTAAGTAGGGGAAGAAGTGCAAGTCATATTATCATGGATTAATTAATAGAAATTCCACTTCACTTCTCCATGGTATTAACCACACTTTGGTATTAACCAAACATTGCGCCATATGCAAAGTTTTTTTTCTTCAGTCAGTTCTTTTCTCACAGAAAATAAAAATTTTCTTACCACATCTAGATTTTTATAGCATTACTGAAATCTGATACTTGTTTACTTCTGAGGTTAATGTTAAAAGACAAGGATATTGAGTAAACTAAAATGTATTCGTGTCATTAATGAATGCAGAATACTATGAACCAAGAATCATTCGGAGACCTTTGTTAGCTGGGCATTTTTAAAGTACAACTTTTTAAAAAAGTGTGGCAAAATACACATAACATAAAATTTACCATCTTAACCATTTTAAAATGTATAGTTGATAGTGTGATGTATATATATTCACACTGTTGTGCAACCAATCTCTAGAAGTTTTTTGTCTTGCAAAACTGAAACTGTACCCATTAAACAATAATTCCCAATTCTCCCCTCCTCCCGGGCCCTGGCAACCACCGTTCTATTTTGTTTCTGTGAGTTTGACTACTCTAGATACCTCATGTAAATGGAATCATAAAGTATTTGTCTTTTTGTGACTGGCTGATTTCCCTTAGCATGTCCTCAAGGTTCCTCCATGTTGTAGCAAGTGTCAGAATTTCCTTCCTTTTTAAAGCTGAATAATACTCCAGTGTATGTGTGTACCACATTTTGTTTATCCATTTATCCACTGGTGGATACTTGCTTCCACCTTTTTGGCTATTGTGAATAATGCTGCTGTGAATATGGCTGTGCAGATATCTCTTCAAGATGCTGTTTTCAGCTTTTTTGGATATATAACAGAAGTGGAGTTGCTGGATCATATGGTAATTCTATTTTCAGTTTTCTTAGGAACCACCGTACTGTTTTCCATAGAGTAAGGTACAGATTTTTGAAGTGAGGATTATCACTTCCAATAAATATTTACTTAATTTTAACTGAAACAAAATAAACTTGGCCAGGCTTAGCACATTAGTAAATATGTGAATTGCTCAATATATTTCATCAATGGGATTGAAGATGTGAATATAGATGTTGACATGTTTTAGGGATCAGCAAGTTAGTAGAGCAGCCATATTTTTATGTCTTCAAGCTAGTATTTTGTTTATCTTCAACGGAGCTCTTAACCAAAGAATGAACTCAAGTATTAAGTATTCCTTTGCTGAGCCCAACACATTAAATTTTTCATTAGATTAGAAGCAGAGTGTCAGCATAGTTACCAGCATAATGGAAGCACTCAGTAAATATACTGAATTAATAACTGAACAAATACTTTCTGAAGGAGTTGGAGCTCAACGATTTTCTGCCAGTGACCTATTTTAAGAATGATAAAACGTTGGAGTCTTTCTCCCAAATTTGTAGTGACTTCATGGAATTCACAGAGTGGCTAAAGCCCATCTATAAATAACAGTTGCATTAATCAGCTGTTAGATTTTTTCCAAAATATTAAACGTGAGCTTCCTCCTCCCAATAACCTGAAAAAGGTATTTTTTTAAAAAGGTATTTTCAGTGTCCTGAATGTCATGAAAAGAATACTCCTAGGAGGTGTTACTAACACAAGGATTCATAACCAGAATCACAGGCTGTTTTTTAAAAGAACTGTATTAAAACAAGTGATCAGTCAGATAACCAAAGAGGAAAAAAAAAATGTCTGTATCCAGTTCCAGGGATTGAAAATGTATGTTTAAAGTGGTTCTTTTCATAGACTTCTTGCTTGCTTTAAGAAAAATTACACATGACTCAAAGAACATATAAATTTAGTTACCAGAGAAAGTGAAAACTCTGTAAGAAGAAGAAATGTTTATATTATATTCTTGGTAGTATCAGGTTAATTATAAAAAGTACATTTTCAACTTATTGACATTAACATTGGAGCAAAATCAGTGCTTTTCCTCAGTGAGATGATGTCTGTTAGGGTATTTGTGTGCCACGACAAAGATCCCGCGTGCCACAACGAAGACCCAACGCAGCCAAATAAATAAATAAATAGGATTACGTTTTTTTTTAAAAAAAGTTCTAGTCTGAGATCCAGCAGAACATAAAAGAATCATACATAAGCAAGGTAAAGAAAGTTCTGCAATTATTTAACATTTCTAGCTAGTATGGAATTGTGGAGTCTGTTTTCCATGTAGGGTATAAGTTATTTTCCTAAAATGTAACTGTTCCCCCAAGGTGTTTGGTATACTTCAGCTCCATTTTCCTTAGACTTCTGAGTTAAATTTTACTAAAGTTAGTTCCATTAGAGCGGAAATTTCTAAGTAACCAGAATATCTCTAAATGTAAACTAGTGGCCCACTTATATAGTATTTAACGGAATTCCAATACAGGTTCTGAATGTTTAATATTTCATCTGTATTTTAACTAAATAATCACAGATATTAGGCTCTCCCAAAGGTAATATTTTGTCCCGATTTGAGTTTCTTAACTCTTCTCAAGGTTATGTTGGCTACCCAGCTTGTGAAGTACTAGAGTAAGTGATAAAAATATAGTCAAGAAATATCATTGGTGACCAGGGCTTCAGCAGTTTTATAAAATTTTTGTGTTTCACTTTAAAGGTCGCATCATTCTAACCCCCAACGCTGTCATTTTTTTTTTTTTTTTTTTTTTTTTGGCGGTACGCGGGCCTCTCATTGTTGTGGCCTCTCCCGTTGTGGAGCACAGGCTCTGGACGCGCAGGCTCAGCCGCCGTGGCTCACGGGCCTAGCCTGGACCGGGGCACGAACCCGTGTCCCCTGCATCGGCAGGTGGACTCTCAACCACTGCACCACCAGGGAATCCCTCCTGTCATTTTTTATACCCTCTGATGTCCAGTGGCCTTAATTCATTCAAATTCAATTCTTCAAAAAGATTTGATCACAGTGTAGGTTGTTGAAAATATTCCTGGCTTACAGGTTGATTATATCAGCTGTCATTTTAGAGTGACTAAAGGGAGGTGGTATGGACATTTAAATCTACCAAGCTGCTAATTTATTTCCTTGAAGCACAGCAAGGAAAGGAATTAGGAAAAGACCTCTCACCCAACAGAGAAAAGGTAAGTGGTTCCCAGAAAATCCAGGATTATCTTGGCAAAGCAGTGAATGCTTGAGTGTGATTTAATAAGGGGTATCTAGTGCTAAATCTGGTCAGAGAATTTTCTTCATGAAATGAAAGAACTGTGTGTTGTGAATGCTGGAGAACTTGACTCCTGAGGAATGTATACATTGACAATGGTTGTCCTTTTTCATTTTCATTTCTCTTCACTCCTAGATCTTCGGAATCCAGAGGCAGCACTGTCTCCAACCTTCCGTAGTGACAGCCCAGTGCCTACTGCACCCACTTCTGGTGGCCCTAAGCCCAGCACGGCTTCAGCAGTTCCTGAACTAGCTACAGACCCTGAATTAGAGAAGAAGTTGCTACACCACCTCTCT